CTGACCACAGTAGCATATAGCTGTCATACAAACTGACCGATCAAAATGAGGTTAAGGGTATTATAGCTTTGGTGCAGCCGAAGATGACGTTTTTTCCTTGTTTTATATATAATTCATACACATATATACTATATATATGTTGGAGAACATCGAAGATGCTTTGGTCACCTAATTTTGTCAAGATATTATACATACCGACTGAGATAAATATATGCTGTAAAACCAACTAGAATAACGAAAATAGTTTTATAAGTAACAGAGCCCTCTTTGTATGGGAAGTGCAGAACCGATTTCTTTTGTTTCAAATTAAGCAACTGGACACAGATTTCATCAATTTTTCTTACAAACTTACCGATATTTAAAGTATAAACTTATTCATAGGCACTTATTCAGTATATGATTTCTTGAAAAGCTTTAATGCAAAAACAAAATTTAGACATTTTAAGCGTTTAGGGGTCTTCATTGATGTTTTATTTATGTATTGTTTAAGCAAAATTATATGGCGTAGTTAAAAATGGTGACATAAAGAAAATGGCCATGATTATAGTCCGATTTCGCCTAGCTTGACCAATACATTGACTTTCTCCACTTTTAGATACACCTCGTTTGACCACTAAGGCTTAGCGTTTACAATGTAAGAGAAACTAAAAAAAAAAGAAATGTGTGGCACTCGGGGACTGCCGCGGTAAAGCTATTGCATAGCATTTTTTATCAACTTATGCAATTGTAATTATTTATTTTTTCTTGGATATTAATTCAAGTTACACTTTTTAAGCGTGGCCGATAATTAAACAAACTTTTTTCTATTATTAAATAAATGAGAAATTAATATTGTTTAAAATATTTTTATTATCTTACAATACATGTAGCTTATTCAGGAATTTTTATCCGGGAAACCAGCGATAAAGGGATGCCTAACTTATTTCAGTGTGAGAGCGCCTCAAAATTAGCGTTTTTTATAACATTTTCCAATGTAGCCAGAACGGACAAAATAATGATTTTTGGGATTTTAAATTAATATACCCAACATTTATTAAGATTAAATATTATTATACATGTATATGTTAAACATATGCAGAAACTATTTAAACCCTCCTTTATGATTTTGTAATGTAATAAAATAATTTATTTTTGAACTTTCAATACTTGATCAAAAGAATAAATGTATTAGCTTTCAATTAATAAATTTCAATTGAAAATTAGTACTACTAAGCATGGCATCACAAAACAGCACATACATTGCAATTTCGCGTTTTCTTTCATTTTCATTGTTTTCCAATTTTTGTTAGTGATCTTCAACAGCAGCAACAATCGCATAATTTTCTGTAGGATTTCAATCTGGCCGTCCCTCTTTTTCCAAATGCTAAACGTCAGACCTCCTAAGCTTTGACAGTTGCCTGAGTTCAGAAGATTTTGACTGTTAACAATTGCGCTCTCATTTCCCGTGAGATGAGTTGGGCATCTCTTTATCTCCGACTGAAATGATAGGTTTATGGCAACTGAAATAAGAAACATAAGTTTGCGACTTGATATCCTGTAAATATCTGGAAAATATCGCGTCAATGTTGGTCCCATATTTTTGTCGTGGATTTTTGTGGATTATTATTCATTTTTAAATTCAATTTTTCCGAAAGAAAAGTTGTCAACGGCCATGATTTTTTATCAGCGAAGTTGATGTTGAAATCGGCAGCCAAGATAAGTGGAAATTTATTACCATTGATAACCTGATTGAAATACTTAATTTCAATCTTGTATTGTTCAATTCAAACGAGATTCTGTTCTAAAAGGTGGGGTAGCTATTTACCAAAATAAAAATAATGTTACTAATATTATGTATAAAATAGTATATTATTTTTTAATCACCCTGCTCTGATTTGTTGCGCTTGAGATATGCGAAAATACGCCCAAAAGTATGCAATATGTATGTGATCGTGTTAGTTTTATTTCCGTTACGGAATTTTGTGATTCGGTCGCCGCACAAAAACTCGCGATAGAAGCTATGCAATAGCTTAAAATACTCAACATAAGCGTATAGAATGTCAGATAGTGAAGAATTTTGTAACCACGAATAACAAGAAAAGGGCAAATTCAAAATAATTTGACATTTAAAGCACTTAAACCTTAGAAAATCACGCAATCAGCGGCTCGATCGATACCACCTTATATGAATTCCCTTGATTACTAATAAGTCTCATAATTATGCCATATTTAGTATCCTATTAAAACGCTTAGTCTCAATATTACATTTTGCTTCATATCCGGGATAATTATTGGTATCAAATATTGGAAGTATGAGGGAAATAAGAGTATATTACATGTTGCTACGTTTCCTCGATATTTATATATACAAGTATTAAATATAGGCAATATGAGGAAAAAGTAACTGGAGACAAAGATATGGTTAAATTAGGGGTTGAGGTTTAAACCGATTTGATTCATATTCAGCTAGTGGTTATTAAAATAGCGCACAGATTGACCCAAATAAACTGCTTAAAGTTAACTAGTAAGCATGAAATTACTATATTAGGTATAAGGAAGCTAGTAATTACCCGATTTTATTCATTTTTGTCATCAGGAATTTTTGTTATCGAAAAAAATGCCTTCTGAGTTTCATAAATATACCTCAAATTGAACGAAATATATATATGGTATAAAGTCTACCGGAAGCTTGAAAATCCTTATATTATATTAAGTATATGGGGGTAAGCAGAAGTATTGTCCCGATTATTATCATTTCCTACACAAAGGCAGACACATATCATAGAAATACACTCTTTGAATTTCAATAATATAACTCACATATTGACTAATATATACGGTATTAAGTCAATCGGAAGTACGAAAATCTTTACACTAAGTATATGGGAGTTAGGGGATCTAATGACCCGATTTTACAAATTTTTGACACAAAGACACATTATTATAAGGAAAAGATGCTCTCTAAATTTCATTAATATATCTCACAGTTACAGGCACTGAGCTCCACATATTCGTTGTCTGAGACTTGAAAAGTTATAGTCCGATTTCGATCATTTTTGGACGTCATATGGCATACCTTAAAGGCAAGATTTTATACCGTTAGCGCATGTACGAAAAGACGAACAAACAGTTACCCGGATTCAATTCCAATCGTCATCCTGATCATTTATATATATTAAACTCAATATTTATCTCGACTAGATTTAAGTGTTGCAAACAACCGTTAGATGAAAACAACGATTATATTTTGTTGGAACTTATTGTGACTGTATAAAACTTTTCTTGATATTAGTTGCTCGTGCTGATTGTTGCGATAAGCAATATAATCGCTAATGTTTTAATTTATAGCGAGTTTTCGCTGATATCGGTGCGATATTATAATTTACGATCGCCGCGAACAATATGGAATATTTACATATTTAAATAAATATAATTATAACAATATATAGTATATGTAAGTTCTTTTATATTCTTAAGAAAGATAATAGCTTGGTTCAAGTTCGCGAAATTCAAAAGTTTGTAGTGTAAGGGTTAATTCGGGTGGCTTAAGTCATATATTATACATCGCGTGTTACTCTTTTTGTGTTTACATATCAATTTGCTGAAAAAGATAATATATATTTAAAGCAACATTTCAATTGAGTCTTAACTCTGGTGTGGTATTATTTGATTAGTATAATATATTATATCGTATGTTACTTATATATTATATGTACATTTGTATTATATATACTCGTGAGCAATAAAACATATTTATATTGATCACAAGTTACGATTTATGAACGTGATGCGATATTTATGGATGTTTTTCACCATTACTGTTGCTAGGTACGCATTTCTTTTCGTTATATATATTTTTTTTTTTTTTACCTACAATTTTAAAGTCATCTGTGAAAAGCTAATGGCTCTTCCATGTCCGAATTTAGATTGGAGGTTATGACATTAAATGTTGGAAATGAAAATACCGTTCGAAAATAATGTTTCTATATTTAGTAATTTTGCCGATAAAAATATATATGTGGTATGTGTAAGGTAATACAGGTTAGTAATGAATGCTTCGAATATGTGAGATCGTTTCAAACAACTGAGGGGTCCTGCAAGTATAAGAAAAGCCAAAAAGGATCTATAGACCCAGATTTTTTTCAGAATTACATCGAAAAGCACATATTATATGTTCCGTAATTTTAGAGTTTTCTAAGAAGGATTTTGAAATCACGACCTCTTAGTGTCTATAGGAGTCGCTTTTAATCTCTCATATTGTTGAGATACACTTTTGACTTCTTTAGCTAAAAGCTTGCTATGAAGACTCTGGTTTTAATGTTCACATCCAATCATAACTATAATATATCATTAATAAATAATATCCTTTGATATCTGTAATGGGTTTTAAATGTTATTTCAACATTCTGGGAGGAGGCAGATAACACATCATACTTGAAAGATTTCAAAAGCATTTATTTGATGATTATTTAGTGAGGACCCGCTATGAATACTAACGACAACTATATTTAAGAGGGTGGTCCAATAAGTATTTAAGAAATTCGACTTAATATTCTGTCCGGTGCATTAATCCAAAAAAATTCGCACGGGGTCAAATATGTACGATACGGTGAGTGTGGCGGCAATTCGTAACCTAATTTGACATTGTCATGGTGAAAGAGCATTTTTTCTTCCCAAATAAGGCATTATTTCCTTTTTTTTTGTTGAAGGACTTATTACATGTGCCAGACACATGTTCTTCAAGCACATATAGCACCTTACACCTTGTAAGGTATACATATATATTAATGTATGTATATTGATATAATTTAGTTATTTTATATGAAAGTAATTTCTTAAATAATTATTGCCATATGTCAAAATCTGTTTTCTGCAACCATTTGTGATATGATAAGATAGCCTTAACACAAACCAAAGTATGTGAATTTATTTATGATATGATATACATACTACATACATATACAGATGTATGTATGTATATCCATATATAATAGTAATTACATACAAAAAATCTATTTTAGAGCAAAGCTTCGGTATAAAAACAAGAGTAGTTCACGTTTCAAGCATATTGGTTATTTGGTATACTTCGAAGAGCTAACATGAAAGGCTTGATCGTCTTACTACTAGCTGTTGCTGCAGGTAAGCAAATTCGCAAAAACTGTAGCAAAACCGAAATTTTTCATTTAAAACTTCCTTGGTCACCTTACAGCTTCGGCTATCCCCATCGATGAGGATAGACAATCTGGCGAAGGTGGCTGGTATGTGCCACAATTGGATGGATCCTTCGAATGGATGACCGTTGAACAAGTCGAAGCCATGCGTCAAGCACCAAGTGGTCGTGCCGCTACTGTAGTCTATTTCCATTTGTACACCAAGGAGAACCCCACCACACCAGACACAATAATTTCGGGAGATGCCGCTTCCTTGACTGCGTCTCACTTCAACAACGCAAATCCAACCAAATTTATAATTCACGGTTGGAAATCGGATTCTAATACCGATCTTAACAGATTGATCCGTGACGCTTATTTGGCAAGTGGTAAATACAACATTTTCTCGATTGACTGGAGCGACAAAGCACAATCATTCAATTATGCTGCATGTGCATTGCGTGTGTCTGGTGTTGGTAAACAAGTAGCTAACTTCATCGATTTCTTGTACCAGGAAGGTGGTTTGTCTTTCGAAAATGTACATATTATCGGTCACAGTTTGGGTGCTCATGTATCCGGAATAGCGGCCAAGAATGTACGTTACGGACGTATCCAGCAAATTACCGGTTTAGATCCTGCCCTGCCTATGTACAGTTACGATAAACCCGCTGAACGCTTAAACCAAAACGACGCCTACTACGTGGAGTCCATTCAAACTTGCGGTGGTCTTTTGGGCTTCTTGAAACCAATTGGTAAATCTGCCTTCTACCCCAATGGAGGTAAAAGCCAACCCGGTTGTGGTCTCGATCTTGCCGGATCATGCGCTCATTCGCGTTCGTGGATGTACTATGCTGAAGCTATCCAAAAGAATAATTTCCCAGCTATGAAGTGTGCTGATTATGAGAATGCTGTAGAAAAGTCTTGTGGTAAGACCTATTCTTCGGTACGCATGGCTGCCCCCACAAACTTTGTCAACGCCAATGGTCAATTCTATGTTCCAGTGAACAAGAAGGCTCCCTATGGCAAGGGTAAAAAGTGATTATCTTATATTCAGATGTAATTTATATTAGTTTGAATAAAAATATTTAAAAAATCAATTAATTGATTTGAAAACAAGGAAAATAAGAAAAAAACCTTAAGTGCGGCTGCACCGAAGCGATAATACCCTTCACAATTACAAGAGATTCCATACAAGAACATGATTTTAATTGGTCAGTTGGTATGGTAGCAATATGCTACAGTGGTCCAATATCGGCGATTCCGACAAACGAGCAGCTTCTTGAGGAGTACAGTACGTGTGCAAAATTTCAAATTGAGAATTCATAAACTGAGCGACTAGTTAGTGTACATACAGCCAGATGGACGGACGAATAAACGGACAAACAGACCGAGATGGCTAAATCGACTCAGCTCGTCGCTCTGATCACACATGTATATATATATATGTATATATATATTGTACTTTATAGGGTTTCCGACGTTTCCTTTTGTTTCTTAGAAACTTTATGACCCTGTTCAAGGTATAATTACCGACCATCGGAGCGTATGAGTAATTTTTAAGAATTGCAGGCGATATTTAAAACAACTAAGGATCCAAAGACTTATCCAAAATATAATTTCACTTTTTGTTTCAAAATTAAAGTACTACTCGTATATTCCATATACGTATGTATGTAAGTTAAAGACAAAAGAGCGGACAAATATCAATCACGATCACGATAATTACAAGTATGTGCACATACCACTTGAACAGTTGAAACACCGAACCTTTTGTGATGCAAAAAACCCCTAGATTTAAATATATATCAAAAGATGCTCATGAATCGATGAAGCGCTTTGAGCTATTGAGCAAATTTGTTGAGGCGACTACTTGTATATCGATCCTTGCCAATACGTCCGATGCACCGAAGGTAAATATGATTACTGAGATGTTTCAACCTCAGTCTATCCCAAGCTGGATTTGTAGCTCAGTTAGCAATTTTAGATGGAATACCTTATTTAACATTGGATGTGCTAACACAAAGATATTCGATATAAAAGATCTAATGAAGGGCCAACAGTGCCATAGTGAAGGCATTTTTAACAATAGTACTTTTTTTAATTTTTGGTTCGAAAAACATTTCTTTCGTTAATCAACTTTAGTTCCCGACTCCACTCAACCTGTCACTTGGCTGCGTTCGTGCATGAAGCACAACATTTCTTTAAAAAGCACGTGACATACATGAGTTGGTCGTGGTGGTTCTGGTTGGAAGTAATACAAATGTGACAAAAGTCTAGCCACTTTTAAAACTTGGGAAAAAATTAAAATGCGATGGAGAACCCTAGCTCTTAACATAGAGTCCGTCATGCTTTCGCATTATGCGTGTCAGTGAATGTTATATGTAGTGCAGATGCAGTGAAGAAAATATAACGGCCATAGCTGAGAGTGTCGATTCGGCGCCGTTCGCAACAACTCGGACTGACGTATGGAACGACATGACATGGCGCATTTTACGTTAAGATCTTTAATTGAAAGCGTACAAAATACCCACTTCTGCAAGAACTGAAGCGGCTCGATCCTTCAAAGCGACAACGCTTCGCTTAATGAGCTCTTAAAAAGTACCATGTAGATCCAACGTTTTCGAGCCAAATTTTGTTCAGCGATGAGGTAAACAAACAAAACTGCCGCATTTGGGACGAAGAGCAACCTGAAGAGATTCAAGAGCTCCCATTTCATACCATGTGGTTTGTGGGATGATGGAATCATCGGTCCAAATTTCTTCAAAAATGATGCCGGTGAGAACGTGTTCATCAATGGCGACCGTTATCGCACCATGACAACCGAATATTTGATGCCTGAAACTGAAGATCGTGATCTCGATACGGAACCTTGAAATGCATCACCCTTTATATTCTAGTTTCTTTATATATATTAATAAGAAATATTGAAAATACCGCTCGGATTATATTTTTTCAAAATAATAAGACTTTACTATTGACAATTTACTTCTTATTCTGAATTTTAGAGTTATGTAAATTTTAGTTATCCATGCCATAAGGAACCTTCTTATTCACTGGAACATAGAATTCACCAACGGCATTGACAAAGTTTGTGAGGGCAGCCATGCGTACCGAAGAATAAGTCTGACCACAGGAATTTTTTACAGCATTTTTATAACCAGCACACTTCACAGATGGGAAACTGTTCTTTTGGATAGCTTCAGCATAGTACATCAACGAACGTGAATGAGCGCATGATCCGGTAAGATCGAGACCACAACCGGGTTGACTTTTACCTCCATTGGGGTAGAAGGCAGATTTACCAATTGGTTTCAAGAAGCCCAAAAGACCACCGCAAGTGGACTCCACGTAGTAGGCGTCGTTTTGGTTCAAGCGGTAATTTGCTGGATACGTCCGTAACGTACATTCTTGGCCGCTATTCCGGATACATGAGCACCCAAACTGTGACCGACAATATGTACATTTTCGAAAGACAAACCACCTTCCTGGTACAAGAAATCGATGAAGTTAACTACTTCTTTACCAACACCAGACACACGCAATACAGAGGCAGAATAATTGAGTTTTTCTGCTTTGTCGCTCCAGACAACCGAGAAAATGTTGTATTTACTTGCCAAATAAGCGTCACGAATAATTAAATTCAGATCGGAATCAGAGTCCGATTGCTAGCCGTAAATTATGAACGCGACCACTTGGTGCTTGACCCATGGCTTCGACTTGTTCGACAGTCTCCCATTCGAAGGATCCATCCAATTGTGGCACATACCAGCCACATTCACCAGATTGCCTATCCTCATCGATGGGGATAGCCGAAGTTGTAAGGTTGCTAATTTTTGTGCGAATTTGCTTAGCTGCAGCAACAGCGAGTAGTAAGACGATCAAGCCTTTCATGTTAGCTCTTCGAAGTGTACCAAATAACCAGTATGTTCAAAAAGTGAACCACACTTATTTTTATACTAAAATTTCACTGCACATTTAACTCTATAGTTGTACGAGTATAAATCTACCTAATTCTTATTCAATATTAATACATACATATATCACTGTGAAGATCACTTTTCTAGAAAAGAAACTTATATTTTGGACATAGTAGGTAAATCCACTTATGTAAATTGTTTTCTTTTGAAGCGCAACCTCCTGATCATAATTAATAAGGCCCTATTAATAGGTGCCAAATATAAAATTCTGATAGCATCAAAAAATTGCGAAAATAATTTAAAACAAGAAAAAACGTTAACTTCGGTTACACCGAAGCTATAATACCCTTCACAGATACAAAGGTTCCTTACAATAACTTGACTCAGATCTAATTTCGTGAATCAGCAATAAAAAATAAAATTTTTTTCCATGCAGGCACTTTACTCCGATCGTTCAGTTTATATAATAGCTGTATGACATAGCAATCCGGTCTAAACAATTTTTTCGGATATTATATTCTTGCCAAATTTCGTCAAGATACCTCGTTAAACGAAAAAGTTTTCCATACAAGGACTTTACTCCGATCGTTCAGTTAATATGGCAGCTATATGTTTTAGTCATCCAATCTATTCAAGTTTTTCGGAGATCACGTTGTTGCCTCAAACAATAACTCATGCCTAATTTCGTGAAGATACCTCGTCAAATGAAAGAGTTTTCCATACAAGGACTTTACTCCGATCGTTCAGTTAATGTGGCAGCTATATGTTATAGTCATCCGATCAAAACAATTTCTTCGGGAATTACATTGTTACCTTAGAAAATAACTCATGCCGAGTTTCGTGAAGATATTACGTCAAATAAAAAAGTTTCCCATACAAGGACTTGCTTCCGATTGTTCAGTTTGTATGGCAACTATATGTTATAGTGGTTCGATGTCGGCCGTTCCGACAAATTAGCAGCTTCTTAGTGAGAAAAGGGCAGGTACAAAATTTCAGATCGATAGCTTAACTGAGGGACTAGTTTGCATATATACAGACGGACGGACATCGATAAATACACTCAGCTCATCATGCTGATCATTTATATATATATTTTATAGGGTCACCGACGTTACAAACTTCGTGGCAAACTTAATATACTCTGTTCAGGGTATAAAAACAAGTAAGGAAGGGTTAAGATCGAGTGTAAATGAACATTTTTTACTATCAGAATTTGCAACTATCAAGGGCGCTGAAAAGTCTTGACCAATGTTATTCATAGGTAAACCCCCGGTGTAAAATAAATCGGAAATTCGAACATCTTTACATTAGGTATAGTATCAGAGATCTTTGGGCTAGGGGAAGTGTCGATCCTGTTTTATCCATTTTTGACACAAGCTCCTATTATTAGTTAAAAAAAAAAAATTTTTAATTTTCAATAACACATCTTACAGATTGACCGATGTTCTCGGTAAAATATCAGCCACAAGGACTGAGGTCCACATATTCGATATCAGTAGGCTTGAAAAGTAAAAGGCCGATTTCAACCACTTTTGGACGTAGAATACCTTAAAGAGACAATTTGTGCAAGATTTAATTTCGCTAGCACGAAAGGACGTAAAGACAGTGACCCGGACTTCAACTCGACTCGTCATCCTAATCATTTATATATTATATACATATGTTAATATAACTCTATATCTATCCCGATTAGTCTTAAGTGTTACAAACAACCGTTAGGTGAACAAAAATATTATATTATTATTTGCTCAAGCTGATTGTTGCGATAACTAATAGAATCGCTAATGTTTTTTTTATAGACTCTTTGCTGATATCGGTTTTCTATTATAATTTATGATCACAAACATTATTTAATATATGTATATGCACATATGTATTTAAATAAAGGTAAATGTAATCATATGTATAAATAGAAATTCTTTTATATTCTCAAGAAAGATAATAGCTCGGTTCGAGATCGCGAAATTCAAAAGTTTCGATCGAATCTATTTAAAGCAACAATATAATTGAGTTAACCCTGCACGCTTTAGAAGTTATAGCTGATACACAAATATTTAAAGATTCGTCAAGAACATGTGGTTATTATATGATTAATAAAATATATCAAATAGTATGTTACTTATACATACTATATGTACATATGTATATACTAGCGAGCAATAAAATAAACTGATCAGAATTCACCTAGAAGATTGGAGGTTATGACATTAAAGGGTGAAAAAAAAACCGTTAGTAATTGTTTCTATATGTAGCGATATTACCAAAGCAGATAGATGTTAAAATCGATGGTATCGGATATAATATGTAGCTTAGTAATAAATGCTTGGAATATGTGGGATCGTTTTAGGTTATTGAAGAGACCTGCAAGTTTAAGGAAGGCCAAAAAGGACTTATAATATCATACTTTTTTTTCAACAGCTTTTAGAAAAACATCAAATATTTTCTATAATTTTAGAGTTTGCTCAGTAGTTATTACAACGCGGCTACAGGAGCCGCTTTTAATCTCTCAAAATGTTGAGGAAAGCTGATATGTTTTTTGTCCAAAAGTTTTCTACGACTTCATGAAGACTTTAGTTTTAACTTTGGCCTGTAACGATTTTCATATGCTATTTCAAACTTTGAAAAGAAGACAAATAACACAACATACATAAGTGATTTCAAAATCATTTCTTTCAAGGTAACTTAGTGAAATCCACTATGAATGCAAGCCATAACTATATTCATAAATTCAATACAATAAGTATTTAGAATATACTACTCACATTTCCATATGGGGCATGACTTTTTCCAGTTTGCAAACAAAAGGAAGTCGCACGGGCCAGATCTGTAAAAAAATTGCGGATACGGTGGTAGTTCTTCCTGCAAATCGCTATTCCGCTTCCCTACATGAGCACGAATCAAATCACCGACCGATTTTATCCAATTTTATAACTAATTTTAGAGCTAACACCGAACGAAACCTTTATATCTACATGTTAATCACACTGATTGATCGAAATTTCGGATGTGAAGTTATTTGAACGAACGGAAGTCAATATTTACTTTAAATGGAAGTGAACGCACTTATGTAGTGATTGCACTCCTTTGCCCTTTTTTTAACCTATATAATATATTTTCAAATTTAATTTTTTTTTTGGTTCTTCATAGGTTCTTTTTATATTTTTTAAAGTAGAAGGATGTATAACAGAAGTCAATGAGAAACAACCAAAATTAAATCACAAAACAGCACACCTTTGACAAAAAGTATTTCAGTACACTTACTAGAAGGAAACAAACATAAATCAATTAGCATTGCAGTTGTCACTCTGCTGTTTGTTCCATATTCAAACCAAGTTCATTTAACACCCTGTAACGACTTTGGCTGCCAATTTATTGTTACCAAAGCTTTGCTTCTATTTTGTGAGTGATGAAGTATTTGTATGCCCTTACTAGCACATACGTTAAATATAATATTAAAAACATATATTGGATATATACGTCAGGGTACTAAAGTTTTCTGTTTAATTTTTTGTTTTTTGTTTACTTATTCCAAATTCATTAAAACTATAAAAATAACTCATTCTGTCCATCTATGCGTACAGTTCTGATTCGTGCAAACGTAGTACAATCTCATTTCTTCTTCAGCGCGACGTGTTTGCGCTTGGAAGAACACTGCTTCCCTATGTGAGCATTTCGGACAGGCATGATCCTCGGTACGGGGCAATGTCGGGTCAGATATCACATCCGGTACTATATGAGTAAGCTCACTGCAGATTTATGAATTTACATAGATATGTAATGATTAATATGTCGTATAATTTAAAGAAACACAAAAATATAGAAAACTTACTCGATTTCGTGCATAATTTTATTCACATAGATGCAATTCGAATCAGCCTCCTGTTTGTAATCGCAATTTCGACAGGCGTATAGCAGCACTTTGTTTTCTTTATCTTCTTTGGGATACAACATGTTATTACTGCAAAATAAAGTAATAATTTAATGTAAGTATGTATTATTTCCAATAATGCATACCATTCTTGGCAGAACCGTATACCCACAAATCCAGGTCCTTCTGAATTAGCATTATCGAAAATGGACATTTTGCTATATTTTTAATTTTAATAAAACTCTAGACAAGTTAAAATTTATGAACTTTTGGACGCGGTATTTTGGCGAACTGTCTAATAGAGATGTGTAAAACAGTAATGTCAACAATCGATATAACTACAACAATGGAAGTTTACATATGCATTTATGCACATATGTTGCTAAAATTAAGTAATTTTTTATCAAAATAAGCTTTGAAATCATTGTTACATATATTATATATGTAAATATTTACTTATCATTCGAGTTATATTTGTATTTTGTAGTTCAATTCCTTTTTAGTCACGTCACTCTCATCAATATCCCACATCTCTGATCAGCTGATTTATGTAGTAAACAAAAATAAAAACCAAGAGACCGGCGTAAGCTTCTAGATGGCGTGGCATTTAAAAAACTAATAATTAAGATCGCTATGATTAACGCCAATATTCTAGCTGCAATAAGTGCCGCTATAGCTGTAAGAGCTATTGTATCGCTATATTCATATTCTGGACAGGGACAGCCGCCCATGTATGGCGATTACGAGGCGCAAAGGCATTGGCAAGAAATAACAACAAACTTGGAGCCTAAATATTGGTACAAGAATACAAGTGAAAATGACCTATTGTATTGGGGACTAGATTATCCGCCACTAACAGCGTATCATAGCTATTTATTGGGTATTATCGCCGGTAAATACAATGAGAGCTTTGTTGGATTGACCAAATCACGAGGTGTGGAGTCTGAAACACACAAAGCATTTATGCGTTTAAGTGTATTGTTTGCTGATGTTGTTATATATCTGCCAGCTTTGGTCTTACTTTGTTTAGTAATAGTAAATCAACAAACTAAAAAATCATTGCTCGTCTATCTTATACCAATGATTCTATATCCTGGACAAATTCTCATAGATAACGGACACTTTCAGTACAATAACATATCGCTTGGCTTATTTCTACTTGCTATAGCTGCTATATGTAAAGGAAAGTATTATTTAGGATCATTCGTCTACACTTTGGCTTTGAACTATAAACAAATGGAGCTTTATCATGCCTTCCCAATCTTTATTTATCTGCTCCGCACATGCTTTGACCAAAAGAGGTAATTAGTTTCTAATTCAAATATATTTTAAACTACACATCGTTATAATTCCTTTAAAATTTCTTGTAGTTTTTCGCAAAAGATTAAAAAGTTCTCATTAGTAGCCTCAATTGTTGTAAGCACTTTCGTTGTATTATGGCTACCTTGGCTGGGATCGTTGAACTCAATTTTGGAGGTAGTGGGACGTCTCTTTCCCATTGGTCGTGGTGTATTTGAAGATAAAGTTTCAAACTTTTGGTGTGTCGTAAATGTGGTTTACAAAATAAAGTATGTATTCAAATTATATATTTTCAAGATACCATATACTATTATAAGTTAAACATATTCTAGAAACAAATTGTTAAATCAACAAATGGCTATGCTGTGCTTAGGTGTTACTGCTGCTTTTGTGCTGCCAATTAACGTTCATCTTTTCTTCAATAAAAGAAAAGAAACTTTCTTGTTAAGTTTGGTGAGCACCGCCATGACTTTTTACTTGTTCTCATTTCAGGTAAACAATTAATTGAATATTTGACATTTATATTAATAAATTAATCGTACTTCTATTATAAATGTTTATAGGTTCATGAAAAGTCTATACTGCTTGTCGCTGCCCCCGCATTATGTTTATTTAATAGCTATCCACTGGAAACCTTATGGTTTTTGGAAATTACTGTCTTCAGCATGTTTCCACTATTTGTAAAAGATGGCCTGGCAATGCCATTCTTTGTGCTGCTGCTAATTTATCATATCTTCGTTAAAGATATTATTTTGAAAGAATTTAATTATCGACAATTTAATAATAGAGTTCTGTCAACCATATTCTCTACGTCTGTATATTTCATGTTTATAATTGCATGTGTGTCATTGTTTGCACCTGCGCCCACAAACTATCCACATATTTGGTCTTTAGTGATTAGTGTTTATAGTTTCGCGCACTTTTTCTTATATTTTTGTTTCTGCATTTGGCAACAATTTGTAAATGATTTTACAAAAATAAAAGCCGCGTAAAAAGTCATTATTGTTAAATGAAAAGTACAGTTAAAAAATAGAACAAATTACAGTACACACACAAAAGTAATTTTATTATTTTTTTGTTTATCACAATATTACATAAATTTTTAAATTAATTAGGAAATCTTAAATTATATCATTCCCGAATGTTCAACATTAGCACACCAAAGTAATTTTATAATTTTTTTTTATTACAATATTACATATATTTTTAAAATTAATTAGGAAATCTTAAATCATATCATTCGCGGATGTTCAACGTTAACACACCAAACTAATTTCAATACTTTTTTTAGTATCACAGTATTTTCAAAAATGTTTCGAAAATCTTAAATTCACGTACGTATGTAACCTAATTACAAAAATAAGCAAAAATAAATAAATGTCATCGCTTATGCCCTGTGTTTCAATTCCCACTGGGTTTCGTGTATCCAACAACTTGTCGTGACGATTTTTTTCCGTTGCCCTACCTACGTGTCCAAAGCAAAATGAATACTAGCCGGTGTTCAATTTTTTTAATATTAATTTTCTATACTATTTGTCTAACTCAGGCAAAAATTATTAATAAGAATGTTGATCGTTCATTAGATGTATCAACCCAACTAGTTAAGGAGCTTACTAAAATAACAGCAACCAATAGCGATGGAAAGCCGATTAGCGTGTACACGTTCATAGTACCAGCTGCAGATCGTAAAAACTTAGCATTTATCGCCGTAAGAGATGAAAATAAAAAAGAATTAAAATATACGGAAAAATTGGTTGATGGTAATCACCAATTCGTTATTGCATTCCCAACGTCAACGGCCACTGAAGTTTTCAATATTGAAGCCGTGTACACAAAGAAGTTGATACCTCATCCCAGTCAAATACCGCAATCGGGGAAGCAACTTGTAAGGTATGAGGGTAATCTATACTTATATTCACCGTATGAGACAAAGAGTCAGAAGCTTAGCGTTTTATTAAGCTCCGCTAATATACTCTCTTATACACAAGTCAAGCCCTTCAATGTTGCGTCTAATAAAATTAAATATGGACCTTACGAAAATATCGAAGGTAAGTAATTATAATTCTTTGCTTATTAAAATAACTGCTGTCATTTATCATTTGCTAGCCTTATCAAATCAATCACTTGTCATACACTATGAAAACGAACGCCCATTTTTAACTACAACACGTCTTGAGCGTATTATTGAGGTATCACATTGGGGCAATATTGCTGTAAAAGAAAATCTTTACATGGAGCATACCGGCGCTTTGCTGAAGGGTTCATTTTCACGTTATGAATTCCAAAAAGATGCGCGTTCCGGTCACGCTATTAAATCGTACAAAACGATTTTACCTGCATCGGCATCTGATGTCTACTACCGTGATACTAATGGCAATATTTCTACTTCAAATATGAAAGTTATGCGTGACTTTGTTGAATTGGAGTTGCGACCACGTTTCCCGCTATTCGGTGGCTGGAAAACACACTACACACTAGGTTACAACATACCATCTTTCGAATACCTTTTCAACGCCGGCGAAAAGTATCAATTAAAAATGCGTCTAATCGATCACATCTACAACGATATGGTAATTGATGAAGCGGAGATAAAAATTATTTTACCTGAAGGTGTCTCCAATATCGAATTAACAACACCCTATCCAGTGAAGCGCGTACCAAATGAATTACATTACACGTATTTAGATACAGTTGGACGCCCAGTTATAATATTGTCTAGCAAAAATCTAGTAGAAAATCACATTGCAAATTTCAATCTAAAGTACAATTTTTCGAAGATTACTCTGTTGCAAGAGCCACTTTTGGTTGTTGTTTTCTTCTTTATCATTTTCATAATTGCAATTATTTCAATTCGCCTTGATTTCTCAATTAGCACCACACATAGTCACAAGGACTGAAATGATTTTTCGTTAATAAGTTATATTCAAGAAGAAGGCGTATAAAAGTTACTTTAACTTTATTAACTAATAAATAAATCATTCAGTAGACTTGAAAAAAAAATTATAAAATAAAGTTTTGAAATTAAATTGTATGAGAGTATTTATACAGTACTAAGTATGAGTTTTGAAAGTGTTTTTATTTTATGGAAATATTGTATATATGTATCTACTAATGTGGAATTGATGTAAAAAGACCAGTTAGAACTAATATCATTAGTTTCCGAAGTGACGTAATATAGAGAGGGCACATAGAGATCTGCCAGTTATAGAGATCTACGCATTGTTGGCAACTTACTGCGATGAGAAAGAAAACAATTTCTTTAATTATTTATCAAACAGTGTTAGGTCATTGAAATAACAGCACTTGGTCGAATAAAATCCGGGTCAATTCTGATAACGTAGCATCGGATTTTACAATGCTCATATTTAAATATTTTTACACCGTGAACAGGGTATATTACGACGACGTGTGTAAAACCCACAAGGAAACGCCGGAGACCCCATAAGATGAATATATTAATGATCAGGGTGACATACTGAGTCGATTTAGCCATGTCTGTCTGTTTGTCTGTATGTATATACTCAAACTATTTCCTCAATTTTTGAGATATCGATCTGAAATGTTGTACACAACCTATTGTACCCAAGACGCTGATCATTTGTCCGAAACGCCGATATCGGCTTACATCAGCATATAGCTGCCACACAAACTGATCAATCAAAATCCAGTTTTTGTATGTAAAACTTTTTTATTTGACAAGACATCATGAAATTTAGTGTAGATTATTGCCAAAAGTGCTACAAATATATTGGTCAGATCGGATCACTTTAGCATTTAGCTGCCACACAAACAGACCAATCAAAATTAAGTTCTTGTATGGAAACACTTTTATTTGTGAAAGTTATTCTAGCTTCGGTGCAGCCGAAGTTAACGTTTTTTCTTGTTTTATGTTTGTTTGCATAACTTATGCGCTATATTTAAAAAATTATATACCATGATTTTTACAAAAGTAACACCATCCAATGCATAGCTTTTTAAGGCTTAATAGATCAGATAAAGTATATTTACATAGAAAATGTATCTTTAATTTACAATGATATTCCGTTAAATATCTATAAAATTTTCGAATCTATAACAATGTAAGAAATATTTAATTTTTTTTTTGATTTGCGTTATACATACATACAAGTTTTAATCTATAACATAGATTATATGACACATAATCAACACAACAATAAAATTGCTACAATACTTTAATGAATAGCCGGCACGTTGTACAGCCGCTGGATGTTCTCCTAAAGTTTAAGAGAAAATTATTGTAAAAAAAAAATATTACAAAATTTTACAAGTACCGTTTAGTACATGTACGTTGACAGTTTTAGAATTTGCATTGGATGGTAAACAAGCATATCTGCCAGAATCGGAAATTCTTGCTCTTTGTACCAAAAGATAAGATGTTGTAATGTCGCCCTTCTCGGTGATAACGGAAACGCCACCACGTGGTGAATCGTAATTTATTTCCTTTTTGAAAATAATAAAATTTTAAAATGTGAAAAGAAATATTTTCGTGTTATTGACCTCATTATTGTGAGTCCAGTGCACTGTCAATGGCGGATCGGGTAAATGTTTGACAATACAAGTCAAATTAACGGTTGAGCCCATATCAATATACAACTCGGGACCACCAGGAATACTCGTTATTGGTTCTGGAAATATTTTCAAATTATTTTCCTTAAGTATGTTCTCTGATTTTCTTTTTTTTTCATACATTCATATTTATGTAAGATAACTTACCGACGACAGAGAAAACCATTGTATAGCCTACAGGAGGCGTTGTTGAAACTTGGCATTCATAAACGCCGGAATCTCTTATTTGCGGAAATTTAATCTAGAATGGGCAAATAGAACGATTCTAAAATACTTTAGTACAACTCATATACTAGTATTTATTTATATGCTTTTATTTGTGTATTTTTTTGAAATGTATTTATTTACTTATTTTATAATTAACTAATTATCGCAAATTATTTATGGCAGTTAGCAATATATTAAAAAATGTATTTTTCGGACCTACCTGCAAAGACCAATCGCCACTTATCTTGTTATATATGGAAGTGAATCGTTGATCGGAAGTATAGGTGCTTTCGCCCACAGTCAGTAGATGTAAATCTCTATGTCTGATCCAAGAAACCTTAAATTGTGGTATTTTTAAGTACAAATATTCAGCTTAATAAGTTTCGTAGTTGTTGTAGTAAATTTTTAAATGTTTGGCAAATATGGAAATAGAAGTTGAAAACAATATTTTCAAGAAAAATTGCAAAAATAAAAAAAAAATTGGTAACTTTTAAAGTTTACAAAGAAAATTTGCTAAAGTAAAAAATTAAAACGAAATTAATTTTTTTAAAACCGTGGAAATGATTCCAACGGCTTTGCTGCCAATACATCACATATACATACATAAATGCACTTTATCTTTCCACCACTTGGCTTAATGCCCATCTGTTGGCAATTATTATTACTCACTGTTTTGTTTCCAAGGTTCTTAATACGGCAATTCAAATGCGCTGTTTTACCAACTAACGATGTCACATTCTTTGTAGCTGATGTGTCAAAGTAGGGCCCTCTATCAAGCGGTCTACTTTGTTTCAAATATGTGTCCCCCAATGAATCAAATGTCTCGTCGACACCCCGCGATTTTTGCACAAATACCGAAGCGTTGGCTTGTTGGTTGTGATCAATATAAGCATATTGACAGTCGATTTTTCTGTGGAAAACTATGCAAGGCATAAATTAACATAATTAATGAAAATTCACTGTTATTTTTATTAAACGAAAGTAATATTCGTACTGAAAGTTGATTTTTTTTAAATATATTTAACAAAATGATGTGTGCACTGAGTTTGTACATATTTTTGTATGTCTTCTAAAATGCAATTTTTGTGTCCATATTTTAGCAATGTGAAAAAATATGGGTTATATATATTTGTAAATTCTACTCACATATAAAAATTATAGCTAATACACAAATTGCTTTTAAGTTGCGGAACATTTTGATTAAATCTGTTGAAGGTATGAAACTATTTTGGTTTTTTTCAGGTCACAGGACATACTTTGGCTTTTAACACAACAGAAAGTTTTTACTATGAAATGCACATAATACTTCCTTGACATAGACAAGAGCCTGGTAATTGCACATGCGCTTTGATTGCGACTTCACTTGTACACTTAATGCTTGTTAATTGTTTTTACACTAAACCTTTTTTTGAACAGCAAAATATTAATTAGGTAATTAATAGAAAATTTAAATAATGATACTACTATTCTTTCATTAATATATAATTTTTTTTACAAATTTCATTATATCCCAATAAAAATATATGCATTATAAGAGCATAAAAAAATATTAGCATATTTACACAAGGGTTAAAAGTGCAAAATGTGTTGAAAACCAATATTAATTTGAAATGTTTCCCAATCGTATTTCCGAAAACGATTACCGGAAGCCAGTCGGTGTTACAATAACACTACTAAATTGACTACATACTACAAGTAAAGGTTTTTGAGCACAAAACTCTAAAAGAATATTTAATGTAGGTTTAAAACAATGTTATATACATATTGTGTATGCATTAATTCGTGCGGTTTTTTTACGAAAATTAAGACTTTATTGTGAAAAAATTGTTATACATTTAATGTTCAAAGTATTGCCCATCGGAAGCTATGATGTTTGCCCATCTTTCTGGCAGTTTGTGGATCCCATCCCAAAAGAACTTCTCCGGCTTGGAGGTCAAGAAAGAATCAATCCAATTTCTGATACCCTGTTCTGAAGAGAAGCGTACTCCGGTGAGGGCATTCTGCATTGATCTGAACAAGTGGTAATTGGTAGGTGCTATGTCTGGGCTATAAGGCGGGTGAGGTAGAACTTCCCACCCACAGTTTTCCAAATAGTTTTTAACTGGGCTTGCAACATGTGGCCGAGCGTTGTCATGATGAAAAATTATTGATTCGTGTCTGGTCGCATATTCTGGTCGTTTTTCCGCGATGGCCTTTTTCAAACGAATCAATTGTTTTCGGTAGAGGTCCCCATTGATCGTTTGACCCGATTTCAATAGCTCATAATAGAGCACACCCTTGTGGTCCCACCAAATACATAGCATAACTTTAGCAGCATGGATATTCGGCTTTGCCGTGGATGTTGATGGTTGGCCGGGCTTCACATACGATTTCTTGCGCTTTAGGTTATCATAATGAATCCATTTTTCATCGCCAGTGACAATCCGATGCAAAAACGACTTCTTTTGGTGGCGTTGAAGCAACATTTCTGACATGCAGAATCGACGTTCGACGTCTCTTGGCTTTAATTCATAAGGCACCCAATTTCCAAGCTTCTGGATGAATCCTAATGATTTTAATCGTCTGGAAACGGTTGCTTGATCAACTCCTAATACTTTTGCAAGTTCTCCTTGCGTCTGGCATGCATCTGCGTCGAGCAATGTCTCCAATTCTTCGTCTTGAAGTTTGTTTGGCTGTCCGGGTCGTTCTCCGTCGTCTAAGTCGAAATTGCCACTTTTAAACCGTGCAAACCACTTTTGGCACGTTCGTTCGGCTAAAGCATGGTCACCATAAACGTCCAGTAAAATACGATGGCTTTCGGCAGCACTTTTCTTCATGTTAAAATAATGAAGAATAACTCCCCGCAAAAACACTTTATCTGGTACAAATTTCGACATTTTCAAATGAATGAAACAAATTGTTGTTCACGCTCAAACAATTTATATCTACTGAAAACGACGCGAAATGGCAGTACCTTTGAAATGAATATATCCACAGATGAATACGACGCGAAATAATACTAATAGAGCCCTCTCTTAGAAAACCGCACGAATTAATGCATACACCATGCATAATGCAGCTCAGATTAATGTAACAGTTTAACAGCAATTTTAAGATATTAGAAAAACACATATTTATATTCACTTAAATAGTTATAAGTCGATTTATTTCCTTACAACTAATCGCTACATATCGATAATAAATCAATCACCCTGTACTTAGCAGTCAATCGAATTTGCAGCAATTGTGTTATCAGTGCAGCTGGTGTGTGCGATAAAACTAAAATAAAATGATTGCACTCAAAACACTACGAAATCATTGGAAAAAATCATTGTTTGCGACCGGTGTTGCAGGATATGGCCTTTATTACGGCAAAACCAGCTTTGAGTAAGTCAGTTTAACTACAAAAAATGTGATTTTAACTTTATATGGTGTAATCAAATTGTGTGCGGTGTTATACAACGTTGCCATATAATTAAAAGTGTGGATTTGAAAATTGTAAACAATATTTGTTTTATCAAATATTACTTTCAGTTTATTAAATTATATATTTGCAGTATATCCCAGCATATGAAAAATGTGTGTGCTGAAACAGTAGCAATGGGAAAAGTCTGTGATAAGCCGAAACATGTTTTGGTCGTTTTAAATCCCGCTGCTAATAAGAGAAATGCAGAAAAAATGGTAAACAGGAACTATATTTACGGTGAATTTAATTTTGTTTAATTTCTTTGTACGTTTAGTTCAAAGATTATTGCGAGCCCATATTACATTTGTCCGGATACAGCGTGGATATAATAAAAACAACACAAGAAGGTCATGTCAAAACTTGGCTGAACGAAATGACCGTGCGTCCACATGCAATTATAATAGCTGGTGGTGATGGCACAGCCTCCGAAGTAGTTACGGGTTTGCTGCGACGCAAGGAGGGCAAATGTCCAATTGTTTTGTTGCCATTAGGTCGAAAAAGTGCTACAGCGTTGAAATACCTTGATGTGAAGCCAGAAAACAAATTAGAACGCGTGAAATCACTTACTGCCGCCTTAACGCCGTTACTTCACGAAAAAGTAAAGAATGAAAGTGTAATGAAAGTTGATTTCATTAATGGCACAACAGAAAAAGCGGACGCCGCAAAGGAAAACGCCACAATTTATGGTTTGAACGACTTTTCTTGGGGTCTCTTACGTGATGTTGAAAGCATTACAGATAAATACTGGTATTTTGGACCACTAAGACAATATGCTGCGACATTTTTCAGTGCTTTTTCCAATAAATTAAATTGGAATCTCGCCACTGATTACGTGTATACGCCGCCTTGTGCCGGTTGCAGAAATTGTCAACCATACGAAAATAAATCGTATGTGAAAAAGTTTTTGCCGCGAATGTATACAATAAGGGATACAAATACTGCCAATACTATGAATTCGTACAAATTAAACGAAGATTGTGAAACGAAAACCGAAGGACATACATATGTGAATCAATTAAATATAACGTGTAAACAAAATGTGGGCTCTAGCTCCGAGCTCGAAACTAGTATGATCGATACACTGGCGCCAGGATTTGAATTCGTTAAGAAAATAAAGAAAGTTATTAGCAAAGAACTGGTGCCAAATTGCACGATCAAAAGTAGAACAATACGACTGCAACCGACAGAAAAAGATGCTACGGAAACTCACTACTCCATAGATGGGGAGGAATATGATGTTAAACCTTTACGCATTGAAGTTATACCAAATGCTATACAAGTGTTTTGCAATTAAAAACAATTTTTTTAAACTAAAATACGACTTATTTTTTCTATACTATGTTTTATATATAGCTTTTATTTTATAATCTATTAGATAATTGAACAGAAATAAGCTTACTGATGTCATGTTGTTAAAAATATGTTGGGAGATTTTCTAGGAAGTGTACTAAGTATATGTATTGCTAGTCAATAATCTCAAGGGCATTGACAATATTGTGCGAATAATAAATTGTATAATGGAAAACTGCAATACTGCATGTTCGAGCGCTTCCAGCTGGTCTTTTCAGCATATTCGAGTTCCAACTCTTTTATCGTAGCATAAGCAGGTGATGCCTAATAAGAATTGAAAGTGAAAAAAAAAGTTTTTCTGTAAAACTATTATACAAGGAATGAAATACGCACCTTATTTGCAAAGATGGTTACCACAAACTTGCCCGGTTTGAAAGTTTTTACCACTCGGTTTATAAGTTCGGCATAATTATTCATGGACACATTGCTTTCAAAACTAACATATGAAAAATTGCTCTCAGGTGTTATATGTATTGTCATATATTCGCCCTGCAATGAGTTAAACGTACACAAATAATAATTTAAATACATAGCACTGTTTATTATATTATCATACCTTTTCTTCTATGCCATTCATTGAGTAACCACATGGATCAAAAAGGAAATCATCAATTATCATATTAGGCAGTAATTTATCTATGCCTGTAGCCTATAAATAATGATATTTAATTTTCGTTATTTTTTTACTTTATTCTAAATGTTGATTTTGTGTTTACACACCTTTGTAACTTCTGCGCCGGTTTCATATTTATCTTTGGAAAATTTGGCCATCACATCAGTGTCCAGATTTTGCATCAAAATTTCAATAGTCTGATCTGGTTCAGCATTATCGAGTTTACGTGGCCGCGTCACTTCTTTTTTATACTTGCTAAAAGTATACAAATACCAGCACTCTCTATTGATTGAACCCAAACAGTATGAACGGCCTTCTTCGAAAACAGAGTCAAGATACTCGACTTCTTCACAAAAACCACGATGTGGAAATGCCTGAAAGTGATGTGTATTGGAAATATAATATATGCGTTAAAAAAACTGACACAACTTTTACACTGACCTGCAACTCTGGACGCGAGAAATTCTTTCTGGAGTAAAATAAATCGGTTATTTCTGTGAAACCATATTGTGGCACAAGCTCCAAAAGTGGTTTCAAACTCTGCAGCAATGTTGTGGAGCCGCATGTTTTTAAAATCCAACGCTTCTTCGAAACGAACATGCTACTTTCACTGCAATTGTGGTAGCATTTAATGAATAAGTTCAATTATACATATACATACATGTTCATATTTATCAAATCAATTACCTTAATACATAAGCATCTATGGCATTATTTTTGGTAAAACTAATGATTTCACATTTTACTGATTGCAGTAATGTTTCCCAGTTAGCTCTGAAATTATAAACAATTTTGTATAAATAGAAAGCATGCTGAAAATTGTGCGTGCGCCGAACAATTAAAAAGGTTTAAAGCCTTGCACAGATAGTCAGCAAAGTTTTGATAACCTTTTGTAAGAATTTGAATTTAGTGATAAGAACAATATTGAAAAATGTGTATGTGCGCTCGTATGTATTAAATCCAGGCATACATACAATATGTTTTTAAAACATTCGGTTTATACAGCCTGTGTATCTAATAGCTCGCGTTCTTATCACTAATTGACATCAATATTTGATTGCTGGAAATTGTAACACAGTCTGAACTACGGAACCGGAACGACACTGTTTTATATCCGGCTACTACTTGGATAAGTTACTGCGGTATTGCAAAAACATATACCATAATAACACACTGCACTAAGAACTATTATACCATTTATCACATAAATGTACGGGTTTTTGTTACAACTGTTACACTTGCAGTTAAATCTAAACTATACCTGGGTATTTTCCTCAAGTCACATTCGTCGTTATCACCATCTTCGAACCAAATTTCCAAAAGCTTCTCTACCCCCTCAAAGAAGTATACAGAGGGTTCGGCCACTAATCCATTTAACATTTTTCAAATATTATTCTAATGTGCTGCACGCTCGGAACAAAAGTGTGCAGCTTATTATTAAATTTAAGAAAATCACAGATAACACAAAACACATGTAAATACAAAAAGCAATAGGTTTGTTTTTTAACTGATAGCCAAGTAATTTTGCGTTCTTGTTCTTCTTGATAGCTTGTAGTTAGTTATGAAACAAACCTAGTGGCACATTGAAGTTACCATATTTATTTAAAATTGATGTGAACAGGTTTGTTTTTAATTGCAAATAATTTATGAATTTGCGTTAATAAACTTTTATTTTCAATAAACACATATACACATCATATTTGAAAACTCCTCTCTTTCATAAAAATTTATATTTTTAACACTAAACCCAAAAGAAGTGTACAACTCTTTTGGTTTGTGGCAAGAACACTAAAAAATGTTGCGAAGTTGTTGAGTAAAGGATTTAGCAATTTCATTCTTACACATGTAAGCAATATGATTCGAATATGTCTCTGTTTAACAATAACAGTGACGGTCAGTTGATAAGTAAACTGTCCGTCTGTACTGACATAATAAATGTGAGTGTATTGGTGAACCCATCAGCAGTTTCTTGTAGGGATTGTAGGCTTATACAATGCCCTGCTACCGCGACCCTACAAACATTTACATATATGAATAATCTTATTTATGAAGCTGTTATGGCTGCGTTGAAAATAAAATATGATAGTGAGCACTGGCGACAAATAAACAATATACAATTAGTCAATCGCGTACAGAAACCTAATGAGACAATACTAGATTATGCCAACGATATTGAACGTCTTACCAATTTGCTAATGCTTCGAAGGATTTACTAGAAAATACTTAGATTCTGCGTTTTATATAAGGTTTACGTGATTGTGAGATAAAACTGGCAATGTATTCGATGCCAAAGTCAACGTTTATCGAAACACTATCGTACGCAACAACCCGGAAGGTGGCGTTAGACCTAGCCAGGCCAAAATATAATACTGATGATAAATGATACCCCAATTTAGAGGATGTATTGACCCTCATAATGGTCAATCCTAATGCAAATCGAGCCCAATATGCCTTGAGACCCAATTATGCAAGAAAAAGTACAGATAATACCGCTACTGTGAATAATGTTGTATACTCATATATTCGTTTTCTGACGAATGCACTAATAACATAATGAGCAAACGAAAAAAATTATGTATATTTCTTTTTAGTTTCTTAACAATTTGTTTGAAGGATCGCTTAAACTTTTTTAACAAAGAAAAAAATATGTTGAATTTTATTAAGTTTAACAACACTACACACACTTCTTTTAATTCTTCATGATCACCCTGTGCACCTACAATTTACTAAAGATTTGCAACAATTAGTAATAACAAAGGTGCAAGAATACGTGTAAATTAAACAAAACTTATATATAATGGTAGGTGAATTTTTGGAAAAATGTGCATATTTTGTAACAGCATTAGTCTTTTAGATAAGCATTAAAAAAATAAAGGTCTGACATTCCTTTTCCTTCGTGATTCGTTGCTTTAAAAGTTTTTACCTTCTTCGTTGAGTAATTCCACTAAACACCTCATATGCTAGGTGTGGAAATATCTTTTGATTGCTTTTATATGTCAATGATTAATATGCGCTATCTGTAAAGAAAATGTAACACGATTTAGTTCAGAACACAGTCTTCTTTAACGTACCGGTAAATTAGAGATTTAGCTAGAATTTAAAGTTTTTGTTCTACTGTTTATTAGTTTATCCCTAAAAGTAGTTAAAAAGGTAGTTTAATATAAGATCAGTGGCGTAATTTTTTTTAAATTTAAATAATTATATATTACTATATTTTCCGCCAATTCATATATCTGTCTACAATTATCTTTTCCAGGGGACAAAAGAACGTTCCGACGTACTCGGCGAAGTTCTTAAACTAGATGTGTTATGGACAAAAAAATTAGTAACATTCGTATTCCAATATATACCATTTACAAAATTACGACTGCATTGCAAATGTTTGGAGATATCATGCAACGGCATTGCTTGGTTGGCTGGCTGGTTAGCATTTATTTGGATAGCTGATAGCAAATCACTTTATCAAATGCAGTTAAATCTGCTATTTGGCCTAATATTAGATATCATCATAATAGCTGTGCTGAAAGCAATATTTCGACGTCGGCGACCAGCAGTGTGTTCAGATATGCTCACATTGGGACCTGATAAATTTAGTTTTCCTTCTGGTCATGCGTCCAGGTCGGCGTTTATATTCATGTTTTTCACCGTGCTAAATCCAGTTTCAGAGATATTATGGATGCCCTTATTTTCGTGGACACTAAGTGTGTGTTTGTCAAGAATTTTACTCAGCCGGCATTATATATTAGATGTACTTGGCGGTATGGGTTTGGGTATTGTTGAAGCGCTTATTGTTGGTCTCCTGTGGATTGGTGAAAATGCTGCATCAAGTATCATTAATTATGTCACCAATGATTATTTGCCAGGTGGAGAAGAGTAAAAGTTATTAATTTTTTTATATTGCATTAAAAACTTGCAAACTTGTTAAGCAAAATGTTAGCCAAAACAACAAACTAAGCATACGAATATAAAGTTTAGTCTGTGCAATGGGAGAAAAGACACAACAGTTTTGTGATAAATACTATGCTAACACCTAAGATTTTGTATTGTATTAATAAAATAAATATTTTAAAAATTAAAAAAGTAACGAGTTTTATACCCAGAAGGAAACGTCGGGAACCTTATAATATATATATCAAGCTGTCATTCAAACTTATCGATCAAAATCAAGTTCTTGTATGAAAAACATTTTTTTTTGTGAAGATTATTATAGTGTCCGTGTGACCGAAGTTACCGTTTCAACAGAAAATTCGAATTCAATAAGCACAAAGTAAACAACTGCTGTTTAATAATTAATATTATACTTAACACTAAATTTTTATTTCGGAACATTTGGAACATTCATAACTAAATAATACAAGCATAAGATTCTTTTATAATCAAAGTAATAATAAAAAAATAATTTATGAACCGCACGACATACAGGCATCTTTGTTCTCCAGTGAGCAAACCATATCCGCCAAATTTTGGCTGCGATTAGGTGAACCAGCTTCATCTACCGGAGGCTGAGCTTTAATTTCACCATTCGTCTCTTTGCGGCTTTTGTCCACAGTAAATTGTATAGCATTTGCGGCGGGTTTCGTGCGCAAGTAATACATGCCAGTTTTGAGACCTGCCTTCCAACCGTAAAAGTGTATAGAAGTAAGTTTGCCATAGTTTGGTTCAGCCACGTGTATGTTGAACGACTGACTTTGATCGATGAAAGCGCCACGATCTGCAGCCATTTTGATTGAGGTTTTCACAGAAATCTCCCAAACAGTTTTGTATAAATCGCGTATATGCTGTGGTATGGATTCAATGTTTTGTATCGAGCCGCGACTAGTTATAATATTATTTTTCATATCATCATCCCACAAACCCAACTCAGTTAGATCGCGTAACAAGTGATGATTTACAACTTGAAATTCACCCGAAAGCACACGGCGTGTATAGATATTGGAAGTGTATGGTTCAAATGACTCATTGTTGCCCATAATTTGTGCTGTTGAAGCAGTTGGCATGGGCGCAAGCAGCAAAGAGTTACGAACGCCATGTTGCTTAATTTTCTCCTTCAATTCGGTCCAATTCCAAAGATCACTTGGTGTCTTATCCCACATGTCATACTGTAGAATACCCTTACTAACGGGTGAACCTACATATGTTTCATAAGTGCCATATTTTTCGGCTAATTCGCAACTGGATTCCAGCGCACCATAGTAAATAGTTTCGAATATTTGTTGATTTAAGCGGAATGCTTCATCACTTTCGTATGGATAACGCATTAAAATTAAAGCGTCGGCAAAACCTTGTACGCCAATACCGATGGGACGATGTCTGAAATTCGATTTCTTTGCCTCCGGTATTGGATAATGATTAATGTCTATGATTTTATTCAAATTACGTGTAACGGTCTTGGTGACCTCTTTGAGGCGCTTAAAGTCATACGTTTTCTCGGGTGTGACAAACATGTTCAATGCGATCGAAGCTAAGTTACACACAGCTACCTCATCGGGTGCCGAATATTCCACAATTTCGGTACATAAATTACTACACTTAATTGTGCCAACATTCTGCTGATTACTCTTTCGATTACAAGCATCTTTATATAACATGTACGGTGTGCCAGTCTCTACTTGCGATTCAATAATGGCAAACCAAAGACTTTGTGCTTTTACCTTCTTATTAGCACGTCCTTCCTGTTCATATTTCAGATACAATTTTTCAAACTCCTCACCCCACACTTCATGTAAACCAGGACATTTGTGTGGGCACATTAGCGACCAGTCTTCATTGGCTTCGACACGTCTCATAAATAGATCAGGTATCCACAGAGCGTAGAACAAATCTCTGGCGCGGTGCTCTTCTTTACCGGTGTTTTTCTTCAAATCCAAAAATTCGAATATATCAGCATGCCATGGTTCCAGGTAGATGGCAAAGGCGCCTGGCCGTTTACCGCCACCTTGATCCACATAACGTGCTACATTATTGAACACTCGCAGCATTGGCACCAAACCATTCGAGGTGCCATTTGTGCCCGCAATCGCAGTGCCTTTCGCGCGTATGCAATGTACATTTAGACCAATACCACCAGCAGATTTTGAAATCAAAGCACATTGATGTGCAGATGTGAAAATACCGTCAATGGAATCGTCCACCATGGTAAGTAAGAAGCATGATGACAATTGCGGCTGTTTGGTGGCAGCAGCGAAGAGTGTCGGCGAAGCATGTGTAAAATAACGCTCGGAAAGCAAGTTGTATGTTTCAATTGCTGCATCGATATCTTCACCATGTATACCGATGGCAACGCGCATTAACATATGCTGTGGTCGCTCAACAATTTTGCCATTCAACTTGAGCAAATAGGAACGTTCAAGCGTTTTAAAACCAAAATAATTGTAACCAAAATCGCGGTCATATATGATAGCAGAGTTTAAGCGATCAGCATTCTGCTTTACAACATTATAATGAAAGTCTGATATTATAGGAGTTGGTAAGCCCGTTTCGGCGCTCACGTAAAAATAGAGCGCACTTATAACATCTAATATGAAAAGGATAGATATTTGTGATATTCATGTAACTATTAGCAAGTATTTTTTTTTTGCTTTTGTGCAAGAAGTTGCAGATTAGGAGACACTTACCAGAAAATACTTTTTTAGTTTCTTTATGTAAATTTGATATAGCAATGCGAGCGGCCAATGTTGCGTAGTCGGCATGTTGTGTCGTAAGACTTGCCGCTATTTCAGCTGCCAAGTTATCAAGCTCTTGAGTGGTGACCCCACAATACAAGCCATTTATTACCTTTAACGTGATGGCCACCTTTTAGGAGTAATTAAAAGGTCTTTAGCACTTTCTATATACCGTTGTGTGGAAACATAGCATATGTATATATATATTTTTTTTTTATATAATATATATATATATTTTTTTTTATATAATATATATATATTTTTTTATATATATATAAATAAATATATATATGATATTTTATATTTACCGGATCGACGAAATCCATATTGAGGCCATAGCAGAGTTTTTGAACACGAGAAGTGATTTTATCGAAGTGTATATCTTCTTTACGCCCATCTGTGAAAATTAATGACTATAGTTAAATTCTAAGAAATTATCGAACACTACAATTATAATTTTTATACAAATAGTAAATATGTTATTGCTGGCTAATTACCCGAACTGTTAATAAATTTTTAGAAATAAATTCTAATATGCAATATTTAGAGCTATATAATATCAGCCATCTCCCAGCCATACACAAAACACCTATTTCACAACTTGTGTTTACTTACATACTTAAAAGCTTTTGGTGAAACAGAAACTAATAATTATATTGTTGTAGCGCAGAATTCTACAATTATAGTGTAATTATCTAACCTAAAGGCTTGTAGTCATTAAATATTTCAATTAGAATTTTAAGCGCTGCTTAGACAAAGTAGATATGAGCAAGATGCCTTTAAGAATTAAATTTGTAATACCCGTTCATGTTTTCAACAAAACAATAATTAAAATAAGCATAAAACAAAATTTACCTCTTTTAATTACATACAATTTTGGTGATTTCATTTTAAACAAATTATATTAGCCAATTTATAAGTACCAATTAAACTGCCAAATGCGACAAATACCACAAGTAAAATGTTGCTAAAACGCGCCAAAAATACTTTTGAAGTCTGCCTACATTCATAATTCGCAAAAAACTTGAGCGAAACAGAACAGGGAGCCAGTCTAAATTTCTTTACAAAATAAAACAACGCAGCTGAAATTGCAAACAATTACCCTATAAATTTAATACAATATTAAACTAAATAATGAATAATATGTTTCTACTTAATAAAGTTTAAAAACTAAAAATAATTTTGTGAAAAACTCAAACACACATCAATAGAACAGGGTGAGTGTAAAACAAAAACGATTGCATGTTAAAAATAGCGCAAGTGTGAAGTTGGCCTCTCTAGTTGGCAGGGTTCTTGCGCAATAATCCCACCACATGGCAATACTATACATGATTGGTGTTGTTCGTTGCCTTGTAATCATGGTGATTGATTTGGTCTGCCTCAAATAAGCAAAAAACTATAGTTTCTTTTGATAATGTAGAAAAATCGGTGTATACAAGTGTTCGAAAGTGTTTTTTACCTATCCAAACATTAAATTAAGGGCATATATACCCGTTAAATATAGTAAATAGAGTGTTAGTGGATGTGATAAGGACGATAAGAGATTTGCTGTTAAAACGCGCTAGTTGGTAATTGTTGGCAACAACGTTTGATATGATGCAGATGCGTAAGCGCTCGCAACAAAAGAAAAAAGCGGATATTCGGTCAACTCGTTCAATAAACACAAAACAAAAGCATATACACCAGTTGTGTTTTATATGCGAAGATATGTAGATTGAACTGAACTGAATGTGAATGTGATGATTACATATTTGTGTACACGTTTAGATTTTATCACGATTTTTATGTGTTGGTGTTTGCATGCAATGCGTTGAATTATTTTTGTGTAACGGAAACTCTGGATTTTCTTGTGTGTGAGAGAAATGTCTCAAAATGTCTTGTTCTGGCTGAACATACTAGTATAGCGCCTTCATATTATTAGATTTTATTGTGAATCTGTTCGGATGCGTTAAAAGGGCGTTCTGTTTTTTTATATATATTATTAATTAATTTATAACATTGTATATTGTTTTAAGATTGTGAAGTGCTTAAATTGTGTGAAACATTAATTTCATATAATCCAATAACTATGTGTAATGTACCACCTAAGTTCTTTCAAGTTTGTCGTTTATGCCTTACTTTGGTCAAAGAGCATGACGTTGAGGTGCTGCAAATATTTAATTCATCATCATCAGCAGCAGCTACAGCTACAGCGAAGACGACGACGAATGATTCGTTTGGCTCTGAAAATGAAGCAAAAGAAATCACGGAAAATACCCCCAACCAACAGTTTCACCATCATAAACATCATCGTCAAATACAATCACTTCATTTCGGAAGGCCACAAAGTAGCTGCAGCACAAAAAATGATTGTAGCTCTGATAACCTATCTCTATCCCCTGTACCAGTTTTTAAGTGTGAGGAAGAGATACCAGATAATAATCTAAGTACATTTGTGCCGATTGTGCCTTCTTCCATTGCTACAACTGAAACTTCTACATATGGAATCAGTCAATTGATGTCTAAATCATTGGAAATAAACGAGGTGGGGGGCTTTTCAACAACTAATCCACATATACCAGCAGAAAATGCCACACATGTGAAACGCAAGATTACATTATCCAATGATAACGAAGAAGGCAAAAGCAATGATGGCATATCTCTGGGAGAGGAGGTGTTCAAGAAGGAAAACCATGATGATTCATCACCACATATTACCATTCAAATACTCAGCTGTCTCTCTATAAAGGTACGTAATAAGTAAGAGATCCGATTACGACACCACTGACAATAATTAAACAGATAGGGTTGCCGGCTAATTTGTATTTACATGATGCAAAAATCTGTTTACTTGCATGATTTTCTGAGTAACCAAAGTTTTTATTTGTTCACCAAATCTATTTTATAATTTTACTATCTATCAAGTTTATAAAACATACAAACAAAATTGTGTTATGTGAATGTTTACTGCGAGCGGAAATCGTGTTATGTTATGTAGCATGTGCATGTGTGACTGCGACGGGAGTTATCAAACGCAAATCAACATATGGTGAAATTATCAGGCGATATCAGTTGGGCAGCACAGCACGTGCAGGGAATCTCCTTTTGTTAGTAAATAACGTTGTGTGTTATCGTTGTTGTGCAAATATCGATATTAAGCCTGTGTCAACAGTAGTGTTGGCAAATTTTTGCTCGACCTTGCGTGATAACAATATAACTGTATTTTCATTTATATACATATGTGAAGTTAAAAACGAAATATATATTATAATAACAATATAAAATAATTAAAAAAATAACGTGTATACAATTTTAAATATTTTATCTTTTGTAGATTTCTCCAGGTGATGGCTTGCCCGCCATTATTTGCAACAACTGCAGAACACAATTGAATGCATTTTGGAACTTTCGATTGATGGCTCAAAAAGCAGATTTTACATTAAAAGAATTAACGAAGTTCTCTAAACAGGTAAGTTTGCACAAGAATGAACAGGTACAATCAGAAAACTCCTGGCTTGAGTACCTTTCCTTTGTGTAATAAAATAAGCTCAATTATTGACGGAGAAAAAGTGTTTGATAAAAGGCAAAATTTAATATTTTACTAAACTTATCGTAAATATGGTATACTACATTTCATGGTTTTCTAGCAATATATATTATACATTTGTGATAACTTTCAACTTTCTTTTACAGAATTCTGCCGAACCCGATACTCGTTTCGCCGGCCACTCAAAATCGCCACCTTGCGGCAAGTCTTCTTCAGAGCGTATGGCAGCAAAGGCTTTAACCGAATTAAGTAAATCCTCAAAAACTTATTTTGCTAATTATAAACCCATAATTGCTACTGCCGATAATTATGCTGAAGCTAGCACACACGCACCAGCAGTTGTCACTAAAGCACTGCATAAATCGAATATAAATGAAAATGAAGATATTTTCAATACTGCATCTTGTTCTTCAAAAACTCCGCCCATAATGAGAAAAAAATTACGAGTATTATCACCACCATTAGCGCCACCTTTGCCGCCACCACCGCCGCCGTTACAACAAACCGTCAGATCAGCTGGTGAAACGAAAACAAGTGTAACCGGGAGTCAAGCATCAGCGGATGAAATGATATTAGAAAATCGTACGACCACAGAGTATTATACGAATAATAATACACCGTTAACTTATGATGGTCTTATTTCGCCAAATACAATTGCAAATAGTTTATTAAATTTGAAAAATGAAAGTTTACCGAATATTGAGAATATTCGTAATTTACAACAAAAACTCGAAACGGCTGCAGTGCTTATGGATATTAGTAAAAAAGTGATCATATCACCACCATGCTCGAATCGTCAGTCTCCAAATCTACCTTCAATGCAAACAACAGATGAAAGTATTAAAAATTCTGTGATAAAAAATGAACGTCCATCAAATGAAAAGACAACAACAACTACTACAGCAACAACAGTAACCGCAACAGTTACAACAACACAACAAGATGGAAAGGAAATAGACTTATCAATTAAAAAAGCGAAACATGAATTCTCAAATACACAACCAACAACTACAACAACAACTGTATCTCAATTACTACATTACACACGTCCTACAATACTCGAATTGCAACAGCAACAGCAACAGCAACATCAACAAAAACAACAGCATCAACCACAACAACAACAACAACAACAAACACACATACAACCTGTAAATTTAGAATTAGAAACAACAAGTATTATTAAAGGAGGAATTGAAATTACAAGTAGACCTTGTAGTAGTACCCAATTAACTATACCTATTAAAAAGGAAGCAACAACTGCATATACAGACTCCGATGAGAGTTCCGATTCGAATCGTTTGGAAATGGATATGGGTTCCATGTTGAATGAACGCAAAACGCCGGATAGTATAACGTCGGAGGAGCAAGCAACAGACGTTGCGACCACACAATTGTGGCAGGCGCTTGCACGATCAGCTGGTGAGTAGATAAAAAATAACACAATGCGCTAGTTAGTTTTAAATAAATAATAAAATTAACAGGGTTCAAACAAGTTCATGTATAATATGAAAAATTTTTTTATTTGTCAAGATTTCTTAAATTATAAGAAAATATATTTTAAATTTTTTTACACAGCAGTAATAATAGTATCTTCATTTACAGCAAACAACGAAAACAATCAGCTGCTCCGGCATATGATACATCAATCACTTGTATTCCCTGCGCCGTCTGCTGCTATATCGTCTGAGAATGTACCTGAGGAACCGATGGCATTATTAAAGGCAAATTCTCAGTCATTACATTTATTTAACACAAACTGCAACATTAATTTTTCACCTTTACAGAATGATAATATAAATAAATTGTGCCGACGAAAACAAACATGCCCGACGAAAAATGATACAATTGAACAACTGCCTAATGTTATGGCAGTTAATGCCCAAAATCTAGAGATTAATGCCAGTACACATAATCAAGTCGCTGTGGCGGCCGCAGCTGCAGCAGCTGCTGCTGCTTCCATGCAAGAAAAGAAGGTATGTTGCAATGAATTATAATTTGCTTGAAAATAATTTATAAACAAAACATTTATTTGTTCTGCACATTAGAACAACAAGAATGCTAACGCTAGCGCAGCCGGTATTATAAGCAATCCAAAGGATATGTCCTGCTCTAATTGTGGCACACTCACCACGACTATTTGGAGACGTAGCATTCGTGGTGAAATGGTATGCAATGCGTGTGGGCTATACTTTAAACTGCATGGTGTAAATAGGCCGCATTCGATGCGACGTGATACAATACACACACGGCGGAGACGTCCGAAGGAGTGTGAAAAGTCGAAGAAGAGTAAGTTTGTGTATATAGTTTACTGAATTTACAATAAGTTGCTGAAACATGCAATAACAGGTAACTAGACGTTTGTGTATTATTTTAGGGTTTAATAGTAGAAATTTGAGGTTATGAAATTTATCGTAATTTATAGTATTTCTTGTTAAACAATTACACGACTACAAAAACATTTTATCGTTAATTATGAACAAAAACGAAAAGAAAATACCTTTTTGCGGAATAAATTTTGCTTTTGTAATAGTTATAGTAAAAATAAAAATTTTAAAATTTTTTTCTAAATTTTAATCATTTAAAATATTTACATTTAAAAATATTATATATAATAATTATGCATATAAAAATTATGTATATAAAAATTATGTTCCTAGATGGCACTCAAGTCATAAACAACGATTAGGTGTTATTTACAAGTCCAGAATAACGGAAAATGTCGTCACGAAAGTGTAAACATCATGCTGATGCAATTTGTATATGCACATATGTCAAAATACATCACTTTTCATGTTATAAATTTTTTTGCGTCTAATTACGACCTAAAATCAAACTAAAATATCGACATTTAATACTAATTTTGGTCGAATTTTGTGTTGACCCGTGTTACTTTAAAAGTGAAACTCATAATATGTATGTATATAAAAATATGTTTTTACGTTTCTGACTGATATAGGCTGCAAGTATTTTTTTATATACATATTTACAAGACTGAAAAAAATTATTTTTCAAAAAATTCAGCTAACGATTTTTTTACAAGCAAACAAAAAAAAAAGAAATGAAAAATTAAATAAATAAACAATTAATTATTAAAAAATTAAAAAAAATTTATTATACAAAAAAAAAGAAACAATAATCATTACAAAAAAAAAATATAAAAAAAATAAAAAATAAAAAAAAAATAAAAAATAAAAAAAAATAAAATAAAAAAATAAAAATAAAAAAAAAAAATAAAAATAAAATAAAAATAAATAAATTGAAAAAAAAATAAATTGAAAAAATAGATAAAATAAAAAAATAAATAAATTGAAAAAATAAATAAAATAAAAACAAATAAATAAATGAAAATACATTTTTTTTTACTTTTAGAATTGTTATAAATGCTTACAGTTCTCGACAAAATTTCCATTAACAAAAAAAAAATTTTTTTTAATCAAATTGAAAAAGATATGTAAATACAAAAAAAATGTTAGCAAATAAAATTATTAGTATAAATGCTAACAGTTCTCGACGAACTCTTTTTCCAATTTCGTTTTTTTTATTAAAAAATATAGAAACAGTAGAATTATTTTTTATTAACATAATTTTACCATGTATTCATATATTATATATGTATATATTATATATGTATGTATGAATCTTTTAATTCAATCTAGTTGAACAAAAAAATTAAATAGACTTATATTATTTTTATTTAATGCGCGTATAATTTTTTATATATTTATAATATATTTTTTAAACCCAGATGCTAATAATTTTGCCTCTTCTCCACAGAAAATAAACGCGCAAGTTCGCCCTCCGAAGTCTTATGCAAAATGCCCATTTGTGGTACGAGTGGCGCAGGCGTTGAGCTCAAACAAAATGTGTTCTTAACAGTTGAAAATCCAGAACCATCTGGTTTCTCCTTTGCGGTAAGTGCATGCCTATGACTTTTATACTTTATTGTTTTTTGCTTTATATGTAATCTGATTTATACACTATTTACATAATTTTATCATTTCCTAAACCTAACAAATCCAAAACTCCTAACACAGCTTAATCTTATCCAGTCATTATTTGCACAACAATTTGCAAAGTTAAATATTAATATTTCCCTTGCTCATACCGAAATACATTAAACAATGCCCATTCACGACTATTGACTTAAGTAGATTTGTGTATGCTTAGTAGGTATATATTTGTATGTGTGTACAAGTGTATATACCGTATGTAGTTGCGTATATTGCACAAGCGGATACGCTTCTATAAGCAGAAATGCATGAAATTATTTTATTTTGATAGCGTAGTATAGATAAATATGTAAATGTATTGCAATTATGCAGAATAAAACTGAATGTAAAGAAGAAAAAACGAAAAAAAAATTTCGAATTGCGAAATTTGCAATTATTTGAAAATTATTTAGCTTATACGTATAAAGAAAATTTTGGGTACCTAATATGCGATTACTCAACGCAAATCATTTCCAAAAATAAAAATAAAAGTTTTCTAAATTGTTATTAAATGCATTCAAAATTATTTTTTGACATCGAAAACAACGGCGTGTCTATGTATACGCTAACTAGTGCTCCAGTCTTGGAGATATCGATCTGAAATTATGCACAGCTCTTTTTTTCCCCAAGAAGCTGCTTATTTATTGAAACCGTCGATATCGGAACACTATAGCATATAGCTGGCGTAAAAACTGATTTATCAAAATCAAGTTCTTATATGGAAAACTTTTTAATTTGAAAAATTATCTGCACCTAATTTGATATGGATTATTGTCTAATACAACGACCACTATAGCATATAGTTGCCATACAAACTGATCCATCAAAATAAATTTAATTTGATAAATTATCGGCACGAAATTTGGCATAAATTTCTATCCAAGGCAATGTTACAAACTCCGAACATACTGTTCAGATCGAACCGCTATAGCATATAGTTGCCATGCAAACTGTACCTATACCTTTTATGCTATAATGCACCTGTGAAGGATATTACAGCTTTGGTGTTATTGAAGTTAACGTTTTTTCATGCTCTTATTGTCGTTGCAATATTGGCCATTGAAATTTGTCAAAAGATTGAATTCAAACAATTCCGTTCTATTGTGATTATTTATGCCATACAAATGTATATTAGTTCAAAGTGGAGACACGGCAATGTTTATTGAAAACTATTTGTGAGTTTTTATTTAATATTCATACTTTATCTATAACTATAATTATATATATAATTTTACTCATGAAATATGACCATTCGCATAACAAATATTGAAGAAATAATAAACTGCTCGGTGTTTGTATGTATGCGTTGGAATTAATTTAAGTTGCTAATCTATTTGTTGCGGTTTTATTTGGAAAACTAAAAATAAAATAAATAAAATATTTAAAAACTATTTAATTATGGCGATTATGGCTTTTGGTTCTTCAACAATGTCATTATAAAAATATTTTTGTTTGCTTTCCTTGGTGTATTTATATATTTTTTATTATTGACGTTGGAATTTATAATTTTATATTAATTAGTTTATCTATAAATATTTGAAATCTTGCTTATATATGTATGCAGCTTATTACTTTTTATTGCTTTATTTGTAAATTATAATTATTAAGTAACTTCAAAGTAAAATTATTATATTTTCTTATAATAAAATAATGTATTTTGGAACCTCTCTTTACTGAAATTTTTCACGTAATTTTAAATTATTTTTATAATTTCTTAAATTCTTCTTCGGCTTTGTTTGTATCAGTATATACATATATGTAGATACAAATGATCAGCGTGTCGAGTTGCGTCGATTTAGCTATGTCCGTCTGTACATATTTACCCGCACTAGTCCCTCAGTTTTGGATTTATCGATCTGAAAATTTGCACACATCCTTTTCTCCCCAAGAAGTTGCTGATTTGTCGGAACCAAAGATATCGGACCACTATAGCATACAGCTGCCTTACAAACTGGTCGATCAAACCAAAATCCTTGTATGGAAAAATTTTCTATTTGACTAGATATTTTAACGAAATTTGGTATGGATTATTGTGCAAGACCACGTTAAAATTTTTGAACATATTTTTCAAATCAGACCACTATAGCATATAGCTGCCATGCAAACTGACCCATCAAAATGAAGTTCTTGCATAAAAAACTTTTTTGTGTGACGAGATATATTCATGAAATTGGGATGGATCATTATCCAAGATATCAGTACAATTTTTAAATAAATTGTTTAGATTGTACATCTATAGCATATAGCTGTCATATAACCTGACCGATCAAAATCAATATTAAGATCTTTTTATACCCTTTTACGCTTTAAGAAATGCACCTGTGTAGTGTATTGCATCGTTATTATGATTTGTTCGATATTGTTTAACATTATTTTTTTTTATTACTAATTTTTCACTTTAAAGTATTTTATTGTGTTTTATTTTATATGTGCTTAATTTTATTCACTTCATTATTTTGTTTGTTTTCACTTAAAATCAGTGTATTTAATAAGTATTTTTATTATTTAAAAAAATATAAATATAATTTAATTTATTTTCAATACATTTAGTTTATTTTATTTTAATTTATTTTATATATTAATTTATATTATTTTTATATTATATTATTTTTTACTTTATATTATTTTCATATTATTTTATAAAATAACATCTTTTTTATATTAAATCTTCTCTTATTATTTTTTTTTGTGTGTCAATTTTGTGCTATCTATAAACCAATTTTTTATGCTCCCCTTAGTTTGTGTTTATTTACCTTCCATTTTCTGTTTGTCCGCTTAATTCAACATTTCTAACTCATTGTTAACCTCACAACTGACCACATAACCCAACCTAACCTCATTTCGCACAATTCCGCACGCTTCCTCACCAATAACATAATTCTACATTAACAATTAATAAAAACAACTAAAATAATATCGAAAAATATAAAAATATGTGCACATATTTGTGTTAAATTTTGCAGAAGTACAAGCGACACATAGACGAGGAGCGAGCGAATATCATAAAGGATGGATTGTTAAAGAAAAAGAAACTGCAACAAGGTACGATTAAAGGGGAATTCAATCAGATGGATGATTTTTTAGTACCTCTTAATCTTGTCTCCAGTGAAAATAATACTAAGTTAACATAAAACGCCAAATCAGAGAAATCAAATCAAAATAACGAAATAAAAATTACAAAAAAAGTATAAAGAAGTTACAAAAAATTATTAAAAACAAATATTCAATAAAAACAAAAACAAAAAAACAACGCGAAAGTTTAGCAAGTAGACTATGAGTGCCGCGCAAGCAGAAAAAGGTTAAAAAAAAGCAGAAACAAATTATTTAATAAAATTAAAGAAATATATGAGAAATCATAGAAGCAGCAGCAAAGGGAGGGAAATTACAGCGCAAAAGTAAGAATAGAAAGAAACGAATACCAAAACAGAAATGAAACAATGTTTATATAGAGTGGAAAGAGGTAAAGCGATGTTTTAACATTAATTAATTAAATAATTAATTTAACCAAGGGCATATATACTTAATACATACAATTTTATAAGTTAATAATTTATTGTATAATTAAAAGTTAAAACAAACAAAAAACGAAGCTTCAGTATTTTTTGAACCACAATGACAATGTTTATTACTACCCCATTACTTAAATAATAGAAATGCTTGTTTTAAATATACAAAAAAAAAAAAACAAAAAAAATATATATATATAATATATACATATATATGAAATTAAGAAAAATTGTACATATTTAACAAAGCGAAAGAATTGAATCTGAACAAAGCAAAACCAAGCAAAGAAGAAAGCAAAGCAAAGCATAAACAAAAACAAAAGCAAAAAAATAGTTAATACACACACTCACTTTAAAATCTCTTGCCTATATGCGAATCATGTGATAATTACTTACATTTAATCTATAATATCGAACTTATTAATCTTATTAAAAAAACAAAGCAATATAAATTTCACATACAGGGTGTTTTATTCGCATATATTAATGGACAATCACAGAAAGGTCTTATTACTCAAAGTTCAAAAACTTTTTAAAACGTACATATGTACATACACATGCAAACATTATGTTGCAAAAGCAAAATAATACAAAAAAAAAAATTAAAAAAAAAAAATTAAGTAAAATTAAATTATAAAAATTATAATATGAGAGTAATGTCTAACATTAGCAACATATTTAAATATATAACTTAACAAATACTTACGTACATTTTAAGGCTTGTAATTTTGTCCACATATTTATTACAATTACTTAATTACTTTTTTCACGGTAGCACACCAAAAAATTATAATACATATATACATATATATAACAAACAAAAAAAAGAAAAAAATTAAAATAATATTTATATTAACGAACACAAAGAGCAAATGTATTATCTGCAACACTTAAGTCGTTAATCGATGTTTATGTTTGAGCTGTTTTATCAGTATTAGCGCAGATATGCATATATTTTTATAATAATACGCTACGCAACCAAGCGTAGCAACAACAACGCTTTCAAATGCATATATAAACATGTATATATGTATGTATTTTATATAGCATAGCGGCAGGTATATATATACAATTGTATATATAAGCATAACGGCTACGCCCACAAGGCAAAACTTCGTGCTGAAGATTACAAGTTGCTTGTTTTCATACTCTCTTCTACTCTTACTCTGCCGTTCTTCATTTTACGATTTTTGCGCTCATTTACTTATTAATAAATCTCTTGCGGGAGACGCTCAAGAAATATGCGAATTTATTGTGAAGATATTGTAACTTAACTTAGATCGTTGAACGATGCAAATACATATGTATATATGTGCACCCTAATGTGTATATACATATATTTAAATGTAATATTTCACCTTTTTTTTGTTGCTGTATTTGTCGTGTTTTACTATAGGTAGGGTAGCGTAGAACAGCTTAGTAATTATTTCTTTTTTTTTATATTTCTAAAATTTTTTTTTGTATATTTTTAATTTTTTTTTGTATTTTTAAAATTTTTTTTTGTATTTTTTAAATTTTTTTTTTTATTTTTTAAATTTTTTTTTGTATTTTTTTAATTTTTTCTTATTTAAAATTTTTTTTTTAAATAGTTTTTTTACTTTTATTTATTTATTATGTATTTTGAATATTTAAAATTTGTTTTTTTTTATTAAAGGATGTAAAGCATATATCTAAATCCGAGCCGAGCCGCAACAAGCGTTTGCAGCATAGATTTGTTTTCAATTTTGCTATTAACAGTATAAAAAAACATGAGTTAGGCATACTTTTAGGCGTAGAGACATAGGCACTAACACAGACACACACCAAACTTAAGCTTTCTACACAAATACTTGATTTTGCAACTCAGTGAAACGTGTGATTTAAAAATAATAAAAAAAAAGTTTGCTTAAAATAAAAGTATTACTCAAAAATTAAATTGAAATAAGTTATTATATGCTACTCAAATTTCATAAAAGCTGCTTTGTCGCTGCTAATTTCTGTAAATTATAAATTTTTTAATTACATAAAAATTTAATTAAAACGTTTTTCTGTTGCAAAAATATGTATATTTGAAAAATTTAAAAATTGGTATTTTAACGGTTTTTAAACTAAACTCAAATTTAGAATTTGAAAGGAATATAAAAGCTAGTTGTAGGGCATTTAAAATTGCAATCTCAAAGAAAAAACGGAAATTCAAAAAAAAAACTTTAAACTGATATTAAAAATTTGTATATTTTTTATAAATATATAAAGCGTGATCTACTTTGTATTCGAATTCATTAAGCTGAATTTTTCTGAATTAAAAAAAAATTACAAAAAAAAAAAACGAAATCCAAAAAGTAGCGTAGGCCGGACTACACCTTAGGCATAGTAAGTCTTTAACAAAGCAAAAACGAGAACAAAAATGGTAAACATTATATTTAAAACTTGATAATCAAAAATGTTTAAGTATTCGCTATTGCAAGAACAATTTAGGTAGTCTTTTTTTCTCATACACACTCGCACACACAAAATACACACACACACCTACACTTTTTTCTCACTTTTTAAGTATGTATAGCAGTAAACTTATGAAAATTGCGAAAAAAAATTAACTAATATAAAATATAAATATATTTATACTATAAAGAAAAACAAACAAATTGTAAAAATTTCAAGCCCTTGCGAGGCCGTGTGGCTATTTATGCGCACTTACAAATTGAGATTAATTTTTATTACAAAAAAAAAAAAAAACACAAATTATGAAATACATATGTACATAATATAAATAGCGCGCATACATGCATATATATATTGAGAATGTGTATGTATGTGCGATTTTTGGTGGTACTCTGCTCTCTCTTTTTCGTCGCTTCAAAGCAACAACAGCTTTAGGCCTTTCTGAGATGTACCATAAATGTATATCACTGCATCCTGCTTGAGTAATTATTTTATATATATACAAAAAAAAAATTGAAAAAAAAACAAAAACAAAATTTAATTACCAAGAAATTAACTTTAATTAATTTAAGCGTTGCGTAAAATTATAATAAAAAATTGTAAATGATATTAAATATAAGTGTGTACATCGATTTTTTACACTTATATATACATACACACTCAAATAGATATATATATCTATATATATATTATTACAGATTCGAGCAACTAAGTAGATTTTGTTTAATTTTTATTACTTAAAAAATCAATATATATATACATATATATAATTACATCGTAAAATTGATCTGGAAAAAGCATTATTAAAACGAGTTTTTTTACTAATATAATAATAACTATTATTATTAATAATATTACACAAAACAAAAAACAAAAAAAAAATTACGCCTCAAAGCAAACAAAAATTATGTTATAATGACACAAACAAAAAACACACAAGAAAAAATAAATATTTTAAAACTAAAAAAAAAAACACATAAACTGAAAAAAACGCATTGGCGCAAATAATTTATTTAACAAAACGCTTTTTAGCAGCTGGCTGGTAAACTAAAATATTTTTATAAAAAATTTTCATTCCATATTTTCGAGTATATCTGAAATTTTAAAACTTTTTTGTTGTGCAATATTTCTATCACATTGTTGTTGTTTTGGTCGCGTACAATATTCCACAAATAGTTTTGGCGTCATGCTGTCGATTTCCGATTTTACATTTCTTACTCGCTTATAAATTGGACTCCGTGCCGATTTATTGGTTACTTTCAAGATAGTCGAGTCTGGGTAACTGAAAGAAACTTGCATATTTCTTACGCTAAAAAAATGTCACTGCCGAGCTGACATTCGTCACCATGATTTTAATAATGTTTTATGATGCTACAACAACAACATATACTTTTTTGCTACTTATTATTCCTGTCGATATACTTACAATGATCTTAGTATCCTGAAATGTCGCTCCATTACACAAAACAGCATTGGAAACCGGAAATCACAAGGACTTCAAGGACATCCGTCAATTTTTTTCAAACCGCGAAACAGTCGTTATATACCTAAATTTTTTTTTCTCTCTTCTCTTAAATTTTTACTGAAGAATTTGGTAAAAATTGCAGAAAATCTAACTGGATATATCAGGTACCTAACTTGTGATTAGAAAATGTCTAATCCTACAGTTGCGATCAGTTTGAAGTAGCAATAGACATCCAGTATTTCAAAATCTTCAACAATAAGTTATGTGAGGCGAAAATAGTTGCCATGACAGTCGAGGCTACGTGACCAGAACGAACCCAGACTGTCAACACAACAATTTCAATTAGTCCTGATTTAAAGTATTCTTGAATTTCTGTATTATTAATGTTTAGTCGGAAACAACCGGGAGATTTAAGATGTATTCCTTTGGTAGGTATTTTATCATTTGTTTTAACTTTAGACGATCGGTGAAGATATAAACTTATTAAGATGATAGTTTTGGAAGATTTCTGCTGGGCAGTCTCTTTAATAACGCTTTGTGCGACAGCCTCTCTTCCATCAAGCTTGTAATTTAACCAGAGAACGTAAAGTTCGATTATTTCATTAACATGTGTCGGACAGATATTGGTTTTAGCATTTTTTTTTGTACTTAAGAAACCTAAAAGTAGATATGCATAAGGTGTACATACTTCGTGCAAGAATAATTGTCTAAAACAATTGTTTTTCTCTACCAGGTTTCTCTTTCTCTTGTTGTATTTGCTTGTGTGGATTAGCAAATTGCTTTATCATCCACAATGCAACTCGTTTTCGATTTCGAATGTGGTGTGTATTCGATGATTGTGTTTAGTTATCTCTTAAAATTTCTTTGCATACTTTTAGGTGTCGAAAAGAAATAACTATTTGTATGCCTTTTGAGTTTGATATTTATTTTTACAGTCCGTATTAAGTTTCAAAAATCGCTTTCCAAGTATTACTTGTCAGAAAAAAAATATTAAAAAGTTGAAAAAAATTAAAAAAGTTGCTTTTAAAATTTGGACTCGAAGACGAGGTCGTTGTGAGCAGTAAAAAATATTTTCATTGTAACAAAATTTAAAGTTTAATTTTAACTTGAAATAAAAATTACTTATATAAAAAAAATATTATTATCTAATATTTTTTTAAAGAAATTTAATTCCAAACGTTCATTTATAAATACTTTTTTGGCTCCTTTATATGAAAATATTATTTTAGTTCTTTTTTTTTAAATTTATTCAATTGATTTTAAAATGGCAAACATATTTTTAACTTTTTTTAACTTTAAAATAAATATAATTATATACTCATGTAAGTAGTTTAGATGTAATACATATAAAATATAGCTTCTTTAAAGTTGTTATAAAAAAATACTTTTTTGTTTCCTTTATTTTAATATAAAACATTATAATTAGTTTATTTTAGTATTTGTTACATAATAAAAATATTTAGTATAATTTTTTTTTATATATTATACATATGTATATGTACTTTATAATTATATTTTAATTGTTATTTTTATTAATTAACTTTATATTTTTATTGAACTTTTTTTTTACCAATTTTAACGACTTACAACTAAAAAAAATACTTACAATCTAAATATTTTTTTATTATAATTATAATTTAATTTGATATTTATTTTTATATTTCATCTAAAATGTAAGTTTTTAAGCATTGCAAATGCAAAAGCTCAAAAAATTTCTAATAAAAATATTCAAAACCTTTTTAGTATATGTGCAATTTGAATGAAGTAACATTTTTCAAGTGAAATCATTTAATTTTTTTTATTAAAACAAAATTTTTCTTTATTAAAACATAAAAAAAAAAAATTATATATAATTCGAGAAAAGTTATTTAAATTTTTTTTTTTCATTTTGGTTTATATTTTACCTAGACAAAATTAGAAGTGGTGTTATGAAAATAAAATATTTACAAGAAAATAAATTTTAAGAGTAAGAGTAAAACAATTAATAGCTATTTTTTGATATCTATATGTTTTATTTTGATTTAAGAACTTTTTTTTATGTAGAAAAAAAACAAATTTAATGTTTTTAGAAAAATGTAAATATATATAAAGAAAAAAAAAATATCTAAAAACTAAATTTTTTTATTACTTATTTAATAAAAACAAACTATTTTATATTCAAAATAAATTTTTTTATAATTTTTTTTTTAATATTGAAGTTATGTTAATTTTTTTATTATAATGTTTTTTTTTTAATAATATATTATAAAAAGTGAGTTAACTAACAAAATTCAGTTTATTTTTGAAATTTTAGTTTAATTTATATTTATAATTAAAAAAAATTTATTTCTTATCTGCATAATTAAAATGTTTTAAAATTATTTTTATTAAAAACATTACAATTCCAAAGTTTTTCAAACATATCCCCACTTCTTTTTACATTGAAATGTTAAAAATATGCTTATATGTGCATAGGTAAGGTTAGGTTAGGTTATTCTGGTAGGCTAATGAGCTACGTATAGACCAGTTTTGGCCCTTTGCGATAGCAGAACGTTACAAAGTCCATAAAGAGAAGTCAATCTTTAGCATGCCTGCGCTTGATGCGAATTTCAACAGACTCTGTGGCCTCACTAACGATACCGTTTCCAGTGTCTTATACCGTCGGGTCCTCAAATGTTTAAAGCGCAGCCTTGCCCTTGCGGGACAAGTGTACAAGAGATGCTCCAATGTTTTCCTGCTGCTTTGTTTTTGACATTTCAGTCTTCTCAATCTGTCAGCCTAATTCTGGCCACCACACTGTGACCAGGGAGTGTTCCAATCATGTTCCTACAGTATCTTCGATCGACTGATTGTCAGTAGGAACTGTGACTTGTCAGTCAGTAGGAAGTGAAGTCGCTTGGTTCTGGCGACACTCTCCAATGCTGCCCTATTTTCCAAGACACTTCTGGCCCATATGCGAAACGAGGTTAAAGCCTTGATTTGCAAACTAAAAACAAAGTCAAATGAAATAGTAAATTTAAAATTTCTACTTCAAATTGGCATCGGATTAGGCAGAGAATCTCTCTCCACTAAATTTCGCAGATAATAAAAGTTATTCATTTGATGTCATTTCACGGTCGCTTTGAAATTTCCATTTTATTAGCAATAATTTATGCGCAATTTGAGATGGTTAATGTTCGAAATCGAAGGAGTTTTCATTAATATTCAACGCGTGGGGACTGGCTGATCGCTAACGGCTACATACACATATACATATATACTATATGCTTGTAGATCTATATTTATCGGTTGACAATTAAGTTATTAAAAATGTTATGCAAGATTTTTGCAAAACCAATTTGGCTATAATTTATTACCTGAAGATCATGTTATTGTGTTACTAATATTGTACAATATTTTATAATTTTATTTTGCCAAAAATTTTACCTTGTTGAACTCTCCAAATGATTAGGCGACGCATTTTTTCACAAACGCACTAATATAGATTTAATTTTAGCAAATTTAGCTCTTGGGTTGAAATATGAACACATTTTTGGTAGCGCACAGTGGTGGGTAAAGCAGTTGGGATGGCCAAGCCTGAGGCTGAAACTCTCATGTGCTAAATGTGCTTTTGTGCTTTTCATACCAAAGCAAGAAAAAATGTATTCAAATGCTTTCGAAAAAGCATGTAAACAACTTTTTACAGACCGGTATAGTCCTTGGCTAACTGTATTGTAAATTATATAAATATAAATGACTTAAACTATAACTATATTCATGTGCTTTTTTTTTCAAAATTTGAACAGTTGTTAAAGAAAACCATGTAGAATAGTTTTATTCAAAGTATTGCCCATTTGTTACTATAACATTT